ATGTGTGAATAGTGGCTCTGTTGAAACGCAGCAACAGGCGCTGTCGGTCGTCAAGTTGAGGAGGTGAGAGAAGGCGAAGGCAAGGCCGTGGCCTGGATCAAAGTCGACAGCTTCGTCGTCGCTGATGAAGGCGACTGGAGATAGGGACTTGCAGATAGCTCGCAGTCGCTCGGCTGACAGATTGCTGTCCATTGGAATGTATGCCAGACGCAGGCGCATGCATGCTAGCTGAAAGGACGAAGCAGGTGACATGGACACGTGTAACCTCTGTGGTAGACCCAGTCAGTCAACTGGATCAGCAATATTACTCGTAATCAATGAACGTCTTGCCTTATTCAATAATATTGTCAGCAACAAATTACAGCTTTGAAGTGCAAACGTATTGGCAAATTGTGTTTAGTAAATTAAAAAATGCCTAAATTGCTGGTAGATTTCAACGACGTTATCAACTTCCAGATAATTATTTTGGCATGCTTAACCGATCACTGGAGAATAGAATTCTTTTAAATTGTCGACGACATAGAGTGATGACGCATAATGACGTGATATGATTGTTGACTTGAATCAGTTGTTGAGTAAAATCATCAAGTGTGCAGATAGCTGTTAAGACGAGATGAGTAGCATGCGTAAACCGTGCGGGTATAATTTATCTCTGCTGTAGATCACAGCCAAAAGCTTTTAATGAGTAAGCATGGGTTCATTCAATCAGAACGGTATTTTCCGTCACTGCGAAACCACGGATTCTACTGCCAGTTGTTACTCCAGTAGCTAATGCTTTGTTCGTTACCTTCGAAGTTATACCACGTTTTCACTCAATGAATTCGTAGATGTTTTATAAAAGGCGTTGTTCATGTATATTTCTTGTTACTTTTGAGTTAAAAGCACTCTAGACGCTATTCAGAACTTAAAATAACAGTCAGTACCTGCATCACGACGCGATTGAAACCTGTTGTGAGGTAGGCGGCTACGAATGTTCGGCTTTGATCACGCTCACTCGAGAGATCTATCTGCCTTTCCTGCAAAATGGGCAGCAGCTTTTCTCGCAGAACCGATGCGAACTTCTTGACAATTGTCTGAAGCGCGACGAGGGTCGTCTCTGTAACCCCATCAATCACATCACCACTGGATAGAAACGAGGTGACTGCTATTGCTCCAACGTCGTCTTTTAAGTCGAAGAGGCGATCTCCAAGCTGGAGCTGCGCAGTGCAGCCACTGGAACTACTACGGACGGACTCGGTGAGAGTCCCGGTTAGAACACTTCTGACACCATTAGCACTGCCATCTAGATAGACGTGAAACAGCAAAGTCGTCTTGCAATATAACCCAGATTAAAAGCAGTTACCTACACTTTCTCCACATCCATTCAGGAGTTGGCTGCTACTAAAATGCCTATGTTGATATCGCTACTGCACAAAAAGCAAAATACAGACTACACCTCAGAGCACGTGATGCTTTGAGCTACGTAGGTTTGTCTGGCAATTGAGTCCTCTCGGTAACTCGTTCATAGTTGCGTATAACTGGTCAACAACCAAACGTGCTACCAGCCTTATTTCACGCATGTCACCCGCATAATTCACCTCGTGCTAACAGTGGTTAAATGTTACACGAGAAAGCGTTACACTTGCTTGTTGTTGCTATTGCCAAACACTGCCACTACATGGTCTGCGTGTACAGTTGTCTGCTAATTTAGCCTGGCGCCTGCTTACCTGACTCAACCTACTCGTGATGTGGACATTGCAGCATTATTACCTCACGATTGCACAAAATTCCTAGTTGACTAGTGATTGCACAAGTGGTATTGCAAATATTCGCTCATTGATAAATACGCAGTTAAATTAGTTTTTGACTAGTTTCTACAGTGTGAAAGTATTCCAGAATAAATTGGAGATTACACTCAATAATCAGCAGCTGCGTCGCCAAAGTTTGCTACGTTTGCCCGTAACAAAGAGGAAACCACTAAAATAACGGTACCAGATCCCTTGTTGACGCTAACACCGACCTCCGCACGCTAATACACGAACAGGACGAGAGCTCGTGTAGAGAGCTCTAATCACGCCAGTAGTAATTCGTTTAGCTTTAGCGCTCAAACCAGCGACTTGTGTCATGGTCCTTCACTTGCCTTTCTGTCACGTGAGGGACTAGAGCAATTCTGTTTCATTTTTGACAGGCACGTTAGATCAATTGATAGCAAGCCGATTTAGACATCACTAAAGAACGCAAAATCACCTTGGAGGTAGTTATGAGGTCACATCAGGGCTACTTCGAGTTTGAGATTTCAACTATTTTAACACTGCTGTTTACCAAGACGACTGTTATTGCAATCCACTTTAATTTACATTCTGGTCATCAAGCATGAATAGGGAATAAGTTGCCCAAGTTATCTGTTCAAAACAGGCCGGGTCAAAAGAGCAGGGATATCAAAGTTATGCCGATGTCACACTCACCGTCCATGTTGTTCAACACGCCGAATGAAAATGAATTGCGACACAGCCAAACAGTTGGTTTACAGTTCAGCTTGAGTCATGTATGAGTCATGCTCAATCAGCCAATCGTTGGTTGCGCGAAACATCTCACCTCGAGAATAGCAACGTGGACCTCCTGGCATGTACGTGATATTTACTCAAAATGTGTTGTTAACGCCAAGGATTAAGGGCTTATCTGAGTTGTCGTCGTAAAGTCACGAACTTTTGTGTCAAACTGAGAGCATCAAGAAGGACAAAATTACAAGACATTTCGATCAGTTGTTTAGACTAAAAACACGACACAGTTGTGCAGATTTCAGACAGTTGAAATAAATAGTACAGGATAAATTCAAGGCGCCACTCAGAGATGGTTTACTTGCCCCAGTCGAAGGCCAAATTATGTCAGAATGTGGGCACTTATTTTAGTCGAAGATAGCCATCACCAAATCGATCAAGGCGAATTAACACGAAACTGTCAGTGGGGTGCCCTGGTGACTCATAAAGGGTTCATGCTTTGCCATTGTCCACACAATTCCCCTAACCACGTCAATTAAATGAATGACACAAAAGTTCGTGACTTTACGACGACAACTCAGATAAGCCCTTAATCCTTGGCGTTAACAACACATTTTGAGTAAA